CCCACTGCCCCCGCCGTCAGTCGCACCCATCCCTGCTCGTAAATAAACCATTCGCCTCTTCCCACCTTCCGAGTCCGATCCTCTCTACTCTCTACGTGCTTTACGAGACTGGTGCTTCACTGCTGCTAGTCCACTGGTGATTTTGATCCCGAAAACGGGATAAATTCCCTGTACAAAGATTAAAAATTGTTTAAATGTGCATTGATCTGGAGAGTATCCGTATATTTTTTACAATCAGGATCGATGCTGAAAAAAGAATGCAGATGCAATTTTTTTCGGGATATAAAATAGTGATGATATATAACAAAATGTGTGTGTCATATAACAAGACTAAGTTAGTATGATTTGGACCATTTCTTTACATAACACCGAAAAAAGCCAAAATAAATAATACATACAGAAAACCTAAATTATAACAATTTTGAGAGATATATAGGCACAGTTTTAGGAAATTTCAAAATCTGATATCTATTTTCTAAAATTTTTTGATTAATTTTTTTACCTAACATTATTTTCATTACCAAACAGTCCATCTATTTAACTATCCATCAATCTAGCTAGCCATTTTTGTTAATTTATTTTAAAGTATCTTAGTCTTACTTTAAGACATGAATCCCAATTCATGGAATTCTTTGTTGTACATGAATATTTTTGTTTGTTTGTTAATTTCTTGAAATATTGTTATTTAGTTGATCATATATTTGTTTTTTTTATTATTATTTTGTTTGTTTTATTGTTGTTAGCTATTATGTTATCATGGCTATTTATAACCCCACCATTTATGCAATCATAAATAAAATGGCGTTGACCTCTGATTAAATAATTAAACATGTTCTGGTATATTTCTGTAGTAGAAATTATGTGAACAGTATTTCCATTGATTGATATGTGATTACGTAAACTGGAGTATTCAAGCCTGAACTCAGTTTTTTTCTAAATAATTTACCTTGAGAAACTTTTCCCTTTTTACTTTTTTTGTATATTAAGTTAGACTGATAATTCAACACATTACATTGTACTGTATTCGACAGTATATTAAATGAAACTTATGAATTTAACTGTCAGTTATTTTTGCACAGTATTTAGCAAACCATTTTTCCAAGCTTGTACACCGAAACTACCAACACAAATTATTTTAAAACTACAATTTAAAAAAATTAAGTATTTCAGTGTTGTAAACTACACCCAACAACTTAACTAAAACATAAAACATTAAAAATGTCCCGTACTGGTAGGGCACAAAACAACTTTCGGCAGTGAACTTTCGATAAAGTAGGGAGGAAATATAGCCCAGAGTTGTAAGGGTGGATAGGGATGGATGGTCGGGAAGCCACGACCGCAGGGTTGTGGGGGCTTTGGGGGGTAGAAGGAAATGTGGGGGGTCCAGGGGGGTAGAGGAAGGGGGGCTAGGGGGGCTACTCAACTCTCAAACAGAGCGACGCGTCGCACAGACACATCTACCATCCACCTTTACTTGACAAGTGCTTTGTGATAACGTACAATAGCGTCATACCGCAAAACATTCATTTGGTCAATGTCATTGATGGTAAATGAAACAAATTACGTTTGCGAGTTTCTTTTGAAAAAAAAAGAATAACCACTTGATGCTTAAAAAGTCACTATTTTAACGTAGAGTATTGTAGTGTTAAAATGTTAAATTTATATTGTACAATGCTTCTATCCTACTATACATTTATCGGTAGCATCGAATAGATTTAGAATCATCACTTGTATTGTTAAACTGTTAAAACTGGTAGGCCTAATGTTGAAGCATAATAACTAATTGTAATTTGTATAATTTGATTACTGTATGATTAATTTGTATTATTTTGCATTATCTTACACTTTAAGGTTCAACAATTTTGGAAAACATTTAGTTAGTAGGCCTAGTTTTTTTTTTTTTTTTTAGTTCCTACAAGAATTTGAACCCGAAACCCATGTCGATGGTTTGAATTGTGACAGAAACTGCTTCATAACGACGATAGTATCGATGAAGTTAATTTTACAACTCGCTGATTAACAAGTTTAACGATTTGGTTTTTAACATTTTTTCAAGACTTAATGTTAAAAATCTGCCATTAAACCCATAGGAAATAAATTCTTTATTCATTTAAAAACAACCAAATTGATCGAAAACATTAAAGGCATAAACTATTTTTTTATAGGGTAGGATAAGTATAAAATATAATATTTTATGACAAAAGACGCCTAGATTTTATTGCGCAGTCGCTGTATCTATGAGGCATCCGTTTCGTTTCATACCAAACATAACACTTTATCGGTTCTCTTTATGTCATAATCATCACAATAATAAAATCCACAACACAATTCTTCTAGTCATAAATGAAGGTGGGCTTACAGAACTGCAACCAACGTAAAAAGATAGTTTTTTTTTTTATTTGAATTGCTTCGTTTTGACTCTTTGTTTTTAAAATAGAAAAAAAACAACCATTTTGATGAACTTAATGGGTGGAAGGGAGTCGAGCCCTGGCTCAAACACAATTATTACCTGTTTCCAAATTATTTTAGGAATTTTTAAATATAACTTTTATCTGGAATACTTAGACTTACCACAGGGATGTACAAAAAAATTTCCATCTGATTGTCTATCACCGTATGTTCGACAGTGTAAAACAAATTTGGAAAATATAAACAAGGAATATAAATAAGTTATTCTCGTAATCTTTAACGCAATAGCTTTCACTATTGATACAACTAATAGCTTTAAAACCAAACGAGGGCAGAGTTCTGAGGGATTAGATAAGACCGAAAACTTTCCCAAACATGAACAGCTTTCTTATGTTTTACGGCATTTTCGTATAATGCCTACAGGAAAAGCACGTGTATACGAAGTCATGAACGTATATAAACGTTTAAGAAAAAAGTTGTCGTGAAAATAGTAAAAATGTGGCTGTGTTCAATGAGACAATTACCTGGCATAAACAAATATTAAAAATTAACCAAATTGATTCCTTGTTGTATTCCAATTAATTTCAAACGCAACTATTTTTTATAGCAATCTTTTATCTATGGTCTAGCTCGAGCAGCTAGTGGAGCAGCGGTACCGCAATTTAGACCTTTTGGCTACGAACCAACGACCAGGCTCTTGTAAATAAACAGTGACCACCCATACAAAACCAGCAGAACTTAGGGCATTCTGTATATAGTGGTCAAGATTGATTACCTCCCATGGGAAAAGTTACAAGCTGACAATTGAGCTTCTCAGAACACAATTATACATCTCGTTGGGCACGAATTTGACAGGTTTTGCTCACCTTTGAGAATTTCCAAGCTCGTATTGGACATGTTCGAAGAAGACCAAAAGAGCTGAGCAAGTGGTTCTTGGAAACCTCCTTTTGTATAGAGTTGGATTAGAATATGTTATATGGTTTAGTTACTTCGCCTTAGTTTGTACACTTTATTTACCACCCTTTCTTTCTAGTTGAAAAGGGTCGTCCATTTCATTCTCGATGTTTGGTAGACAATTTTCTGCCATTTTCTGAATCTAAAATTAAGATTTGGGACGTTGTCGAGTTCATGACCATTTCAGATTCTTTTAAACCTTAGTCTCGACGTCAAGCACTACACATGTCATGCAAAGGTGCTTAGAACTAGTTGAAATAATAGGTAAATGAATGAGTTGTCTGCTCTCCTAATATGTCTTATCAGAAGGTATCCTGTTTGATCTTGAGAGGAATCGGTCGCATTTTTAATGTCAGAAACTGGACCCTGGTGTCCTTGATGTTGGACCTTTCATGACCATAAAACAGGTGATCTTGGTCACAATTATTGCGCATAATCATACTCTACTTTCATTCGTATTTTGGCTTAACAGTTTAATCGTAAATTACAATAAAGTGATATAACTGTTACATATATATATTGTGGTATGGTATGGAAATGACAACCAATTTCCCATGTAATGCAATTGAAGCCAATTCAAGTCACAAATTAATTCAATGAAAATAATAAAGAGATTTAACCTAATTGGAAACATGTGCAACAAACAAAATACTTCCTGAAAAAAGATGAACTTTTGATAGTAACAGATAAGATTTTTTCCATTTCTATGTAAAAATACTTCCTTGCACAGAAATAGGGTGCACACATAAAGTTATTAAATTATATGACATTTTAGCTGAACGACTTATTTAATAACAGCAGACACCTTCGCACCCTTAGAAATAACCCCTTCTCACTTTATTTTGGAGGGAAACGTTGCCAACAGCTGGCTGATAAGAGCTGTTATCAATGTTGGCTGTTCTACTACTTGGCACGACTAGGTCGCCTGTGTCAGTAGGTATCGCTGCTGCGTCTTATAGGCTTACTGCGCTTTACTGCATAGTCTATACTGCATTGGCCGAGTGCCTTACATACCATTAACATCTAGCGGTCTATATAATAATAGTCTATCCTAGATCGTGTCCCGCCAATGTTCTGGTAGAAAGTTTACACTATGTGCTTTAAACAAACGAAAATAAACTAGGAAGTGCATAGGACTATAGTTATAGTTTTGGAGGATTGTTAGTTGCTCCTATTTATTTATATTTCTCACTATCACATGATAAATCTAATATCTTCTTTCTTGTTCACTTTTCGTCAGGCTTAGCTAGATGCAACGTAGCATTTTATATCAACCTAAATATAATAGTCAATAGACAATACCTAGTTGTTTAAGCGTATATTCAATATTAGCATCAGAATGTTTGATATAGGAAAGAGTTTAACATTATCAATGACTATGTAACAGAATACAATGCAATCAAGACCAAGAATTAAATCTTTTTCTCCTTATCGACCGATTCAGTTTAATGTTAACATCTGAGTAATAAACTTGATAAAAAAGGAAGTGCGTTACAGGATTTCAATTTGACATCAAGATTAGCTTTGAGAGTGGGGATAATGTACCACTCACTTTAACACTGTATTTCTACGCACCAAACTGTTAAAAAAACTGTTTCATATGTATAATTTCAAGCTAATTCAAACCTTTGTTCCAGGTTACCTCAAGAAGTTCCTCTATGCCCGTCGCCCCGCGTGGTACCCAATGTCTGGTGATGCAGTGACCGGCGCTACCACGCTGCAGGGCCAACTATGACGGCCAAACTGTCCTCACCAAGTGACAGGAACAACAACAGCCAATCAGAGGCTCTCGTTGGACAAGAGGCGAGCTCTTCGACCAATAGGAGTGCGACGAGGAAGTCTACGGGCACGGCCTGTAAGAGTTCTGCAGGAAAGAAGTCTTCTGGTAAAGTGGGATCTTCCCTGCCTCTAGTGGCAGCTGTTGGCATCTCCAAGGACGGCCGCAGGGTAAGTGTATCCTTGAATATTTGTAGAACTTTTGCGGTTTATGTGTAGTGAAAGGAGGACATCCTTAATTTGGCTTGGACTCTTATATCTGCTCTTCAAGTAAACGTTTCTTCTTTTTGTTTAAAAGTGTACAATCAAAAACACTAAAAAGTCGCGGCCCAATTCACATTCCCATGAGTTTGTATGGCTTTAAGAGCCGATGATCAGTGATCATGTCTACACGACTGCGGGAGATATTCAAGATTTGGCCGCGATCTCGGAAAACGATTACGATGTTACCGCGACCGTGGGAGACAATGAAAATGTCTACAAGACCATGGGATGTATTTACATTTTGCCACGATACCGGAGAGTAGGTGATGTTTCCGTAACTGTGAGAGGCATTTATGATGTTTCGTGACCGTGAACGATGACGATTTTTCAGGAGTTTTGGATTTTGCTGCAATCACGGCTTTGCCTTCTTTAATAATGATTCTTGTGTTTTTTTTTTATTCTTTCTGTAAGTGATTCGTATTATCGGCTATTCGGATAGTTGAGTTCGGATAGTTAGAGTTCGGATAATTCGTGTAGTACTACTATACTACTGTATTTTAATCTTAAAAAAACTACAACTCGTCTATATAGGTGGACAACTGGTCCCAATAGTTGGGTCAGTAACCAAAAGTCATTGATAAACATAATCAATGCCACATCATCATTTGTAGCCCAGAGAAGTGAGAACTGTGAAGGTGAGCGTGAGCGCTGAACGTCGCTGCGTGCTGACGTAGACCCAACGATACTCAGCACATAATTGGACTCGTTGCTGCTGATAGCCCCCGCCTCAGCACATCCTACTCCAATCACACTCTTTATCCACTAACGAACTACAGTAGACCTGAAGTGAGCGCTGAACGTCGCTGCGTGCTGACGTAGACCAGGCGATACTCAGCACATAATTGGACTCGTTGCTGCTGATAGCCACCGCCTCAGCACATCCTACTCCAATCACACTCTTTATCCACTAACGAACTACAGTATTTCATTTCATTTCATTTTTTTCATTTCGTTTTGTCATGAGAGCAGAACTCCCTGACTGCTAACCCGGTACCTATAATTAAACATACCCGGGCCCCATGATGTAGGCCGAAGCTTTAGCACCGACCTTTGGTACACTATGGGAGGATGACTTAAGGTCATCAAGCTCACCGGCTGCCGAAGCAAACCCTTCGGAAAGAGGGTTGCCCCTCAATCCTAACCAGGGATACCGGCTACTTGTTTAAGCGTCACTTCACCTGGGTTCCCCCAGGTACGAAACCCAGGAAGACCATAGTGAAATGCCCTGACGCATTTAGTGCAAGCAACACTCGCGACCTATCCAATCCCTGACAGGAAAAACCCGCCATCAAAGCCAGGAAGAAGGGGACCACCAGCAAGCTGATGGGAGGAACCCCAACCACCCATTTACACCACTACCCGATCGAGGCCTTACCCAGGTGCTGGGAAACCAGAGGTGACCAAAGCGATAGATCCCTGAACACCCCCAGCGGGCTTGAACCCAGCACCCGATCTACTTCATTTGCCCATCAAGCCCAACATCACTGCCAGGCCGTCAGGGTTTCCCAAAAGGAGGCAGGAATAGAAGTGGGTCCCACCCGGATGAACCTATCCACCAAAGGTGGCGACACCCTTTGCTCAATTGAGGTTCCAGGGAGAACCCCCCACACTCTAGATAACCATACCTTCCGGTCTCAGAGACAGGGATTGGCTGATGGAGTGCGCCCAGCCGTTGCCCTCACACTGCGGAAAGTTACGTTCCCCTAGAGTGTCCCCGTGAACTGCCGGGTACTTGCCCGATTTCACCTCCAGGAAGGCTACTTCCAAAGTCGAGGATTTGCCACACTGAATGCCGGTCGCACATCAACAAGTTGGCCGGAGCCCAAAGGATCATAGCTACAGGCAGATGATAGATTGATGGCGCACTTCCACCTCTTGCAGAGCTGAACACCCCCCATAACCTGGATGGGGAAATGTCACTGGGTACTCTCACTTTGGGTAAACCCAAAGAGGCTGGCTTGTCCAGTCGTCCATAACTATGACCTACTTGAAATGCCGATTCCGACACCGAGCAGTTACCTCCCCTTTGGGGGCTAGGTATTTCACCTCCCAGGACGAGGCTACTTCCAAAGTCGAGGATATGCCTCACAAAATGTCAGTCGAACACAACAGGTAGGACGAGCCCGAAGAACTCGGTCACAACCACAAGCTACAGGCAGGTGAAAGATCTATGAACTTAATCAACACTAGCAGAGCTGAACACCCCACCACCCTGAATGGAGGGAATGTCACTGGGTACTCTCACTTTGGGTACAACCCAAAGAGGCTGGCTTGTCCAGTCGTCCATAGCTTGTGGCCTACCTGAAGTGCCGGTTCCAACACCGGGCAATTACCTCCCCTCTGGGAGAGCTAGGGTCCGCGTGGTCGCCCAGGCCACGTACCCACGCAAGCGTGGGCCCCCTGCGGGTAACAAACTACAGTATACCTGAAGTGAGCGCTGAACGTCGCTGCGTGCTGACGTAGACCCGGCGATACTCAGCACATAATTGGACTCGTTGCTGCTGATAGCCACCGCCTCAGCACATCCTACTCCAATCACACTCTTTATCCAATAACGAAATACAGTAGACCTGAAGTGAGCGCTGAACGTCGCTGCGTGCTGGCGTAGACCCGGCGATACTCAGCACATAATTGGACTCGCTGCTGCTGATAGCCACCGCCTCAGCACATCCTACTCCAATCACACTCTTTATCCACTAATGAACTACAGTAGACCTGAAGTGAGCGCTGAACGTCGCTGCGTGCTGACGTAGACCCAGCTATACTCAGCACATAATTGGACTCGTTGCTGCTGATAGCCACCACCTCAGCACATCCTACTCCAATCACACTCTTTATCCACTAATGAACTACAGTAGACCTGAAGTGAGCGCTGAACGTCGCTGCGTGCTGACGTAGACCCAGCTATACTCAGCACATAATTGGACTCGTTGCTGCTGATAGCCACCGCCTCAGCACATCCTACTCCAATCACACTCTTTATCCACTAACGAACTACAGTAGACCTGAAGTGAGCGCTGAACGTCGCTGCGTGCTGACGTAGACCCAGCTATACTCAGCACATAATTGGACTCGTTGCTGCTGATAGCCACCGCCTCAGCATATCCTACTCCAATCACACTCTTTATCCACTAACGAACTACAGTAGACCTGAAGTGAGCGCTGAACGTCGCTGCGTGCTGACGTAGACCCGGCGATACTCAGCACATAATTGGACTCGCTGCTGCTGATAGCCACCGCCTCAGCACATCCTACTCCAATCACACTCTTTATCCACTAACGAACTACAACCTTACACTGATTTTTTTAGATTTCAAATGTAAATCATCAATGACGATCGTTCATTTGTATATTGAAGTGAGTTCGCGATTGTTAATTCATTGGGATTTTCTGTAACTACCCTGAACACATAAATAAACTGTATAAAAGTTTATGAATTAGTGTTCTCAAGTTTCAGATAAAATTTAAAACACAGTACTATTCTTTGAAAGAACAGGGTAGTTTTATCTAGATCATCAGCCACTGTAATTCGACATTTAAATAGTACAGAACTAAAATTAGAACTACAAAGGGTAAATTTGATAAAGTCAAAGTCTGAACATAAAAACTAGTTGTTCAGTTTGTACGGATGGACAGTTTAAATTTCGCAAAAATTTTAGAATTTAGAAATCACAGTCGTGTTTATTAGTACCTATTACAAATTGATATGGTGACGTATAGTATTGCCACCATGGTGCGTATTTTAACCCAAATATGAGTTAATTATGAGTGTAGAATGAAGTGAGCATATATACACGAATATCAATCACTACGAAGGTTCAAATAAATAAGGCCCTAACCTTTTGAGTACCTATCACAAATTAACTGATTGGACATCCTCAAACCACAGTTAGTTAGCCTATAATGTCATCAAGTAGGTAGAATACGGTTAGAAACTCTATAAACCACTGTTTGAATACACAAAGTGATTTGTTTTTAATGTCAAGAAAATATGGTTTAAAAGTTAGTGGAACCACAATTTTAATATCCATAAACCACCCTAGATATCACTATGTCAAAATTTAAGCTCAAAACACTATCGCAAAACAGCTGTGTGAATATCGCAAAACAGCTGTTTGAATATCGCTAAACAGCTGTTTGAATACCACTAAGTCAGAGTTTGAATATAAGCCATACGTTGGCCGCCCTATGTTGGTGTTTACGTTCAGTAGTGTAGTGCAGTGTGCATGCGGGTCGTATCAACACAGCAGCTCGCCGGAGGTGGTTAAAGGATGAAGGGGGTGGAGGGGGTGGAAAGGGGGGTACAAAGCTAATCCGTCCGGATAACTAGCGTTTAATGACCAACACACTGGCTATCGGTAAACTCCCACCCCCATACACCGCAAACACTATACCATGAGCCAGAGATAGAGCTGTGTTAAAGCCTGGGTTGAAACTTGGTACTTTGCATCATGCTTGTTTTTAATTTAGTTTTAAAATCTTTGAATTTGTTTGTATGATATGCTTATTTAAAAAATCCGTGTACCTGGACTATTTAGAGTTTATGCACTTTTGTTTTATCATTAAGTCTATTGTATATTTTCATTGAATGTGTTCGTGCACCTTCACCGATCCAAACGATTTTTTTTCAACTCGAAAATGCATTTATCATAATAGAATATTTGCAGATATTATGTTTACCCTTTAGAAACACAATAAAAGTTCCTGGAATGAAATGGCGGACGCCATGAGTAACAAAGCAAAAACTGCAGCAAAGTTTTTAGTATCTTTTATAAGGCTTTAAAAAATGCATTAATTATTTACATAACGATTTTATTAATTACATATCATTGTGTAATGAAATCACATACGATGTTCATAGGGTTTACGTTTTGCGCCTTCCGATACTCAACGCAATATGAGTACAGCTACTAAATTGCCTACGCCCGTAATGAAGGCGTCCAATAATCACCTTGTTAATCGAAAATTGATGATTTTTCAAATATATTAGTCGTGTTTATCTACGGCCATTGGAATTTTATCGTTTTTAGTGAATTTCCCATATAGGAAATAATCTATTACCGTAGTACCCATGGTAAAACCTGGACCCGGGACCGATTTACATTTACGTTTTGAGGTCCATACAGGCCGATTTTGATTAAATTTCGTACAAACGTGTAAACCTACATTTATTCTAACTAGTTTGCGAACCAGCATGATCGGCCAATGGGAACGGGGGTTTATGGGAGTTTTATGGGTAAAAATTAGTTTTTCCCATTTTAGGCCCTAAAATCATAACATTTTTCACAATTTATTTCCAAACCATTTTGTAGAGCTCAAAAAATAATAATTTAGTACTGTATGATGAAACGTTGTTATGCTCCTAATAGTTACGGAGAAAATTCCAAAAATTGTAAATTTAAAATTCCCATGTTATTCTTATGGAGAATAAGTAAACTGCTGTGGTTTGCTTGTTTATGAACATATTTTAATCAAATTTGGAAAATGTATTTATTTCATACTATACTATTAACATTTTATAAAAAAACGTATTTACCCTCCCTGTTGCAGCAAACCTAAGTACTTTGTTAAACTAATGCTATTTAAGTAAATGTAATCGTATCTGGTTCCGAAAACCATCATGCTTGGATTCTAACCAGATATCAAGCATCAGTATAACCATTTGGCTACACGGACATGTTAATGAACTAATGTTTTTTTTTTTTAAATTGTAAAACCACTACTTATTGGGAAAACTCGCTGTGAACATCAGGGCAGAATAAGACTATGTGCTAAATGGCGGCTTAACATTGTTAAGGAGGTTGGTATACCTCTCATACAGTCAAACCTTTGTTCAATTTCAAATTTAAGTTACTGGAACATGTTTTACTTTTATCAGCATAAACATATAGGGATAAATGTTAGTATCAAAAATATTATTTTCTGTCTAAATTATTTTATTTGTCAAATTCAGTGGACAAAGTTAACAAATGAAAGAATGTACAGCTGATGTCCTTTTGATTCTGATAAAAAGAACTATTTTAGCCCCACATCACATGTTTTTAAAACAGCTGATTTTGATGCAGGTATATATAATTGATATTAATGAATTAAGTTTAGCAATTGACACATTTCTCACAGCAGGAAACTAGCTGCAATGTCACTAGCATGTCTCTACTCCGACATTTGCTGATGTATTCCCTCAACACCCACTGTACACTGCACTGTTCACTGCAGTCCTTACTGTAGCATTAGGATAGTGCTATTTTGTCTCTTGAGTTATATTGTAATGTTTGAAGTAAGAAGGGATCTTTTAGTTTAGCTTCAAATATTCTTAAAGGTAAATTATGTAACAACCATTAACTGGACCAATGTCATAATTTTGTTTGACAGGTTTATTAAAAAACAAAAACACAGTAAATAAACTGCTCGGTTAAAATAATAAACCACACGTTGATCCACACTCTACAACACCTCTGCAACCATTCATATCAGTGAAGCTATACTAGACTGAATAAATAGAATACAGACTGTACCACAGTTGCTGAATGGTTGAGTGGCAGTTTTATTATGGCATGCCATAGTGAATGGTTTACCAGACAAGATAGGGAGTTAATTGGCAACAAATGACATGATTGGTTTTATTCAAGGGTAAACTTGTCAGCAGGGCTGGGTTAATTGGGCGGGGGAAAATATTGCAGATATTTGCTCGTTTTATAACCACAACGTAATTGCACTATGCGTTAATGACGCAGTGTGGCTTTCATCGCCTGATTTGTATGACGTGCATATTAGAATAGTAATAATCTACATTTTGTAAGTACAACTACTTTGGATACTGCTAGTATACTTCACATCCTATAATCTGAAACATATTTTGATATGTGTTTCCTCTCTGGTGATGAGTGCAACAATATAAACTATGTTTACTGATTTAGAATACTTTGGGTTGGCCTTCATTTATAATTCCAGAGGACATACTATGCTTGAGAATAGATCAAAAATGTGTATAGATGTGTAATATTTTTCGAGTAAGAATAAACAAATAATAAAACTACTTATTTTGTTTTGGGGTGTGCTAGGTTTCTTCCTATTTTTGATCAAGGTATAAAATATTACGTCTTGTTATGTAGATGATAATACAGTGTACACATTATTTAATAAATGAGCTGTAATGAAATCAACATAAATTCTGGTTTAGGGTGACGGCTGCATTGAAGAGGGCAATGATATAGTTGCCAATGTTTCGGACATGCGCAACTGTCCATTTTTAAGGCACTGACATTTTTTCGTGTTGGCAACTACATCTTCGAAGACACAGTCGTCACCTGAAGACCAGAATTTATGAGTAATCAACAGTGGAAACCAATCACAAAGAAAGAAATATATTTCAGCTGTATTAAATCTTGTGTTTTGTTACAGGCCAACAAGCCACTAATGGAGAAGCGACGCAGAGCTCGTATCAACCAATCACTGGCAGTGCTCAAAGCCCTCATACTTGACTCTGCCAAGATGGAGGTAAGTTTTTATAATTTTTTTAACTTTAATGAAGTGATATACTCCTGTTGATTTGACAACAGAATGAGAATGAGATAAAGTTTGGCTTGCTTAAAGTATATACAATAGTTTATAGTATTGATTTCAAATGTTGTAGTTTTTATTTAGAGCTACCATGATACTGATATATGATATTCAAACTTCCATTAGAGACCACTCAAGGTGTTTAATGTTTTTCTTGGTCGATTTTAGGTTTTTGATTTTCTTTTCAAGTGCGATTACTCTTGTAAATATCGATATAACCAGAAACGTGTTAGATACATCAGACAAAACTACTTGACTTCTTTATGTGTGTTGAATCCGGTTGAATAACCTGTGTGGTGTACTGGACTCTTTATCCATATGGATCGTTTACACCAAATTATCAATGTTGCAGAACACAAAACACTCTAAGCTGGAGAAAGCAGACATCTTGGAATTGACTGTTCGCCATCTTCAGCGGCAAAAGACACTTAGCTGTGGGACGCTGGACAAGTATAAGGCCGGATTCCAGGAGTGTGCTCGAGAGGTAATGCATCTCAAGAAAAAGTTCTAAACTGTTACAAAATTAAGTGTCAAGTATTTAGATGTTCTGTCAAAACTGGCCTTAGATGTTGCTTTATTGTCTGGTAGTTGCATCCACTGTAAAGAAAATTCAAATGGTAGTATTAACATTTGAAATTAAGCTATATTTTCAGCAAGTACCGTACACAAAACTAGAGTACCTATTCTATTGAACCTTATGCACACTAGGAAGGTACAAACATTTCAACCATGTATTATGGAGGTGTTGGAAATAACATAATTCTTAGGTTAGGATAAGTTGTAATATTTGTTATGATCTGGCAGGTGACAAGGTTTCTGGATACACCGGAACTACAGCTGGGCCCCACAGCCCCGCTAGCCCCAGGGCCCCCGCTGATAGACACCGGCATCAAACAGAGACTTTTACGCCACATGGACTCTTGTTTGTCAGAAATCGACCTGGACTTCAGCCTAGCGACCATGAGAACTTCCCTGGACTCTGAAACAGACCAGAGGCTAGACAGGCTGGAGGAAATGCTCATGGGAGGACCAAAAGTTCAGGTTAGAAGAATCGTTTGTCTGAAGCTGCTTTTAGACGGGGAAAAGTAGATGCGGCAAGTGGCTTACTGCAAATACTTCACCGGTTTCACTCACCCTGTATACTTACCAACAAAAGTACCCATATAGAAAAGGGGAAATGTGTTGTAAGTGCAACAGGCAAGTACTTGCAGCCAACCTTGTCACCTATACTTTCCCCAGCAATACGTCACTATAATTTCATTTAGACAGGTATTCCTACGTTGATCTAGATTAATAATTTGTTGGTTAATTTTATTGATTTAATGTTTTGTAGTGCAATTCCCAGTTCCCTTATTCTGTATTCTTGACATGTCAACTTTACTAAGTGAAAACCACAAAAGATTTACACTCTAATTAACTAAAAACTATGTTGTGGTTTGACTAAATGGTTTTATCTTAAATGACTCTAGCTTTGTAGTTGTAGTATTACTAATAGGGCTAAAGCCACTGTCACTCACTTTTACCGTGTTTGTACATTGTAGACTCCCTCTCGCTCCCACTACAGATTGATTGAACGGCCACCTCTGTATATGACTCCTACCCTTGCATACACAGACTGCTTTGTACATAGTACAACTCCCAACCTTTTTGCCTAACTGTTTGGCAAAAACATATTATTTTATTCCTGTTCCCTCTTATTGTTAATATTGTACTCCGCTACTGTACACACAGTTTGTTGTTTTGAAAAATATATATTAGTTACTGATGGTTCCAAATTGTTCTTCGTACAAGGGATCTCGAGATGTCCGAATAAGATTGATTCCACTGTATAACTCAAGTTCTTTATACAAACACAGTAGCTTTTACAGGATCAATTTTTTACATAGTCACTAAAACAAGAATGTTTTGAACAGACTCCAGTAGACAACGAAGAAATGACAAAACCTGACAGCAGCACAACCTCGCCTGGAGATGAGAACAACAACAGCCACAACAAGGCTCGACGGAAGCCACCGACAGCGACGCGGCTACGCAAACCTGACAAGAAACCTGTTGTCACCTCGACCAAGGCAAATGAACCTGCCTCAACCTCCTCTAGTCAACCTAACCTCTCAGTGGTGCAGGTAAACAGCTGTATATCATATCTTATCTTGTTATAATATGCAAACAGCTGACTTTCATACCACTGTAAAGTTGTTGTTGAAAAGCGTTGTTTGAAATCGAATAAAATTTTAAGAGTTGCTTATGTCAATATAATATCTTTCAAAGTGGTCCTTGATCAAATTTTAGTTTCTGGAGTTTTGTTTAGGTGTCACAGACGCCAGTTTTTCACCAAAGAGTAGTTTTGTAGTACATAGAGAGCACAGGGTTCTTCTATAGTAGTGAAAAGGCCTCTGTGGACCCAAGGATGTCTCAAAACAGGTAGTGTTCACCAAACCTATATTACAGCCACTTGACTGAGTTGACACAAAAGGGGACTAAAGGTGTGCAAAAGTAATAAGTATTTTTTTTTTTTAATTATAAATACAACTAAAACTATGCAATATTTCAGGTACTGTACACATTTCACTCAATTTAACCAATGTTTACATATTTTTTATTTGCAACAATAAGAAAATATTACATGAATAAAAATAAACCTCTAATCTGTAATACAATCGATAAAATTGAGTTTTAAGAGGACATGCTAAACTGGTAAAAATCTCTCATAAACGTATCCTTGTAATCAATCAAGTAATGTGTGTGCAGGTCATACCCTCCAGACTACCAGATGGCCAGGTAGTGTTCCTGTTGCCCAGCACCTATGTCGCCACAAAGACCGACCAAGACTGCCCGCTAGACTTCAGCGTCAAGAGAGAAGACGAACCCATCACCATCAAACAGGAGGTCCAAGCCAAAGACGAAGATGTCTGGAGGCCATGGTAGATGGACTGTAGTCATCGTTGTGTAAGCTACCAGTAAATGTAAACGCATAAAACTCCCCGTAAAATAATCATTCTTCAAACCAATATTTGACTTTGGAAACTGTCAGTTTTGTGATTAATAAAAATCTTTTGACAGGTGTTGTCAACAAAGAATTTTTAACATTTTTTGAAAACTCTGGTGCAAACGTGGCTTTAAAAAAATGTAACGGTTTACAATCCCTCCTGGAAAGCAAAATTTCTGTTGCAAACACAGAAAAACTGTTGAAAAAACATTTTTACCAAACTGAAGTTGTCAGTTTGTCGTTGTAAATACGACTTGGCTAGAATTATGAATTTTTCTAAATAAGAACATCAGTAATTGTATGAATAACTGTGAATATCTATGATTTACAATCACAAAAAACTTGAGTTTATTGATTTGAAGTTTGAAAGTAGTTTTTGATCCTTGAAGTGCAATATAACTATCAGTAAGTTGGATAATTCTCTACAATTTAATTAGTAAATCACTAAACTTTGCATATGAAGCTTTGTTCTGACTAAGATAAACAGGTTTTTAGCCATTTCCATTAAAAACCTGATGAACATTAAACAAGGACAGCCAAATCCAGTTTTGAATCATTAAAATGAGCTAATGACATATCAGGATTGAATTGGCAAACCTTTGATTATTATAATCTGTCAGTTATTTGTAATCCAAACAATAAGAGTAGAAATAATCACAAAGGGGAGTTTTTAGCAGAGTAAATAAAACATGTTAGAGTTACAAAACAACCCAAATTATTTCAACAACTTAATTAGGTAACAGTTTTCCAAAGTCAAATCCAGCGCTCTACCGTGAGATCAGACTAGAAAAATTAAAAACTAAATAATGTGTAAAACATATACTTCACGGCTATTCTTTACATTACTTTAATAATGACAATCATAAATAGTATTTCAGATTATAGAACTCCAATCAAGTATAATTTTTTTACTTAATTAAAAAATAACAAATTGAAAAAATTGTGTTGAAAATATTCTACATCAATACCATGTAAAGTTTTTTCTTCTATTACAATTATTATGCTAATGAAATTTTGCGATAAGGCACAAAAATATATAGGATATTGATACTGTACAGTATACAACTTTATAATCAAAACACTGTGATATTTATTTATTTTGTTGTTAAGGGTTTTCTTATATTATTTTTTATGTTATGTGTTTACCAAATAGGTAGTTAGTTATATTTATACCAAAAGTAGTCCTTCATGCTGTTTTTGTGAGTATTAGTTTGTATATTTTCCTTGTTTTACTTCATAGACACAGTATGGCATTACTGTTATTACTTTTGTGAATTTACTTTCAAACCACTGATAATTGATAATAATGTAATTTAAGTTAAATTCAGGTTTTATGTTTGCATTATACTAATGATCATCGCCGAAAATATTATTTTTTTTCTTCAGTATAAGCTATACATTTTTTATACAAAGTTAAAAATTTATTACAACTTGAAATGTTTATAAATGTATGTTAAACGGTACTACATATATAGTATTCAAATTTTCATTAAAAGTATTCTAGGTTTGAAGAATGACATACCAATGTACAACAAAATTTAAATTAAACGTATTTGCTGTTTAGAGGCATTGTATATAAGATTTTAGAGTGAATTAAAGCATATTAGCTGTCAATGTTAATTCTGTACTATTTCTAGAGTTAGTTGAAGATGTGATATTTAATTTAATTAGTAATTATTTTTGTATGTAATGTTTATGGGCTGTAGGGAGTGGATGTATATGAAATTTGTGCAGATTTGATTTCTATTCCTGTAGAGTTTAAGAAATATTATGGCTAAATTAGCACATTACTTTCGCCAGTAGTCCAAATATGCATAGCAAAATTTAATAGTTTTTTTTGCCAGCTCAATGTTATCAAAACTTGCAAATTAAATGTCAAAACATCAATTTTTTTCAATTCTAGCAAACAATTGATGTTAAATGAATTGTTTGAAATATTATGGATTGAAATTGCATGCAATAGACCTTACAGTTTATTAGGAATTTCATATTTTAAATTTACAAAGTCACTTTGCAAGGAAACCGTTTAATTTTGTAAAAGCTAAAATATTTATCAAGAGTTAACTTGATCTACTACTATTAAGAGGACATAACAACTTTTGCCTGATCTTTCAGGATTGATCTTTGGGAAAGGGGGAGGGGTCAGTAGATAAGAGATATTGGTGAAGAGCATAGAGAAGGGATTCACTTCTAATTTTCTGTGTAGAGGAAAAGTAGGCAAACATTCAAAAAAGTTTTTTTTTTAACATTTTTTGCACACCTAGGAAAACTAGGTTGTATAAAAACTAGAGAGACTAAACTGAATCACAATGAATCAACTAGTCTATGTAAGATTGATATCCTTAGAAATATGAGAGTAATAAACGAAATTGCATAATTTATTAGTTTTCTATGCAACATATTTACAGCTAACACCACACATAGTCACTATTTAACAAGTACAACAGATCTTATTAATCCAGTTTGAAATTATCATTCTCAGATATATGTTCAAAAATCCAAACCCTAAGTTTTGGATTTGTGTCCTGTTTTCTCCAGTTTTGATATATCAGTTAAGTCCTTTTTTGAACTGTGCTGGCTAGTCCCTTGCTTAAAAAGGTCGCCAACCTCTTTTAAAAAAAGGGCAAAAATCATTCCCCCTTATTGAGCAAAATTCAAACTATTCGACATTATATAATAAGTGGTATAGTGATATATAAATTTGTACAACACTACTCAAACCTATTGTACACATTTTTTGTACATGTTTTCTGTACATCCATTCTCTAGGTCAGGAGCACTAAGTTCCTTACTGTAACTAGACTGTTGACCATTTCTGTTGTTGCTCTCTGTCTTTTACCTAGTCTATACTCTATGCCAATACTTCTGGTTCATGTTAATAAATTATGTACAAGTCAAGTGTGTAATTTTTCAACTTGGTGTATTCATTAATCATTTCTAAACCTATTCTCGTGTGTATTTTCAGAGTAACAATAAAGCAGCAATGATTTTGTGGACGAGTCATCCTTAAAGTTTTTGGCATATACCTGCTGCTGCTAATGAATCTCTGATTTGTAAAGAGTAAAGAGATCACTGCTAAGTTTACCTTATAAAAAGAAAAAAAAATACTTTGTCAACAACAGCTCACTATTTTAAGCTAAGCATGAATGGAGATGAGTGTAAGATGAGTGGTGCGATATTGTAGTCTTGCTACTGACTAAGAACGACATGTTTCTTAGACACAGCTGTTTTAATAGTCCATACAGTCAGTGGTAACTAAGGGACCTACAGTTGATAGTGGAATCCTAACCACATCTGATTCAACACACATCAAGACAGGTCTCAGAGTTTGTAACAGAGTGAGAAGTCATACTTGAGGTATCTAAAGTCCATGGAATCACCTAGAAATCTCATCTAAGAGTCAGCTGGGGGCAGTGTTTTCATGGCCAAAGGCATCACATTAGTTGGTGATAATTTTGTGTAGATAACATTTGCAGAAGTCACTGAGGAATAATGTGCATGAGTATCATCGAGAAGTATTCATGGTGTGAACCCTCTGATGTAAGACAAAGTAAACTATATCTAAGAGCACTCAAAGAACATGTTACTATCAGCTCCAATCCTGCAAACAAAATCTGTAGTCAGAGAACACTAAATAAATATTTTTACCATTTATTATAAATAAAAAAATCATGTTTATACTGCATTTCAAATTTACTATTAGAGATTTAACACTGGAAATATTACCAAGACATCATTTAACTTTAAAATCCCTATCAGTGTGAATGACATGAAATCTAAATAATAAACCTTCCATTGTGTTTTTAAAATCAATTAGAATAATACCTTAATAAAGGATGTACTTGGTTTATTTATTTAAAAAAAGGAATGTGTATAGTTACAAAGCTTACTCAAGAGTGTTGTTTAGTGTCAAACAACTATGAGCTATTTCGTTGGTTTTGTTTGAAATGAAAGTGGCATCAAGTGCATGCACCACCAAGGATTTTTTTTAAGAGGTTGGCGACCTCTTTTAACCTTGCATTTGCCCTTCCACATAGACTACAGTTCAGATTTGAAAAACAGTACCTAATATATTTTTATCTGGTCTATTTACCTCAAACAAACTACTTTTTACTGGAAATTGGAATACAGGTTACACATTAAATGAAATTGCCCTTGTTTATTAAATTACTTTTCAGTCTTTGACTCTCTTGTTAGTTGTTAAATTAATATTTTTCTTAAGGATGGAAATACTGAATTTTTTAGTTTCAGTTTAAAAATATCAACTTTCATTAGATATTTCAGCTATAAGTAAATTCAGCTTTGGCAGAAATGTTACATTTTGTTATCTGTACACTCTGTACATATTTCTGTTTATATTGTACAGGAGTCCAGTCCAGTGCCATATAACACAGTGCATGCTGTGGTAAGGTTATAGTGGTCACTATTAATCTTGCTTCTATGGTGGGGGCCAAGCAACAGAATTGGGTAAAAACTTATCTAAAACTTTTTACACCTTTTGTAATCCCTCCAAAAGAATATCCTCTTTGGTTAAGCTTTTTATCTAAATTTGATTAATTGATAATAGAAGCAGACTCATTTTAATTTGCCGCAGCAAACATGCCGACTAAGCGAATTTCTATTTGTCTGAATTGATTTTCAATATGTATATTTAAATAACATTAGGTTTAACGAGTACCTAGGTTTGCTGCTACAAGAACACTGATAAAGTGTGTTTTTTAGGAAAATATTAATAGCTTAGTATAAAATAAATAAATTTGCCAAATTTGATTAAAAAATGTATCCTTAAACAAGCAAACTACAACATTTTACAATATTCTCCATAAGAATAACATGGGAATTTTAAACTTACAATTTTTTTAATTTTCTTGATTACAAATAACCATACAAAAACACTTTGATATACCGGGTGTCCCAAAAAGAATGGATCAAAAGTAAACTGACATTAACACTTTATTCTTAAAGATAAAAAGTTAACTTTATATACATTTTATTTCTTAACATTCTAAGTTTTTCCTAACATGATTTCACCGCCTAACCTCTACATGTTCTCCGTTGTTCGCTCGGAGAAAGTCAAGGCGGTGTTCAAGCTCAAATCACACATTGTGTCACATTTCATTGGATATTTTTCCAAAGGCTTCCCTTATCTTTGCTTTAAGTTCATCTAAGTTTGAGATCGGCAAGTTATACACTTGATCTTTCACAAATCCTCATACAAAAAAATCACAAGGCGTAATGTCTGGAGATCTAGGAGGCCACCGTATGGGACCGCCGCGACCAATCAAGGCCCCACTGAGCACCATTTGCTGGAATATCACGTTTGGCTGGAAAGCCTCTAATTGAGGATAGGCATATTTCTCCAACATGTCGAGGTACACGTTTCCAGTAACTGTTTGCTCATGAAAGAAAAAAGGGCCTACCGTACCGGTAACCTTTTTCATGGCCGATGTTTCCAGAATCCTTAAACTGCCTGTACCATCGCTGGATACTGTTTCTGGATGGTGGATTTACATTGTATCATAGATAAAAGGAGTATACTCATTTTATCTATGATTGTATACAGTCAGAAATCTTCTTTGTACTTGAACCATTGATTTAGTCTCAATGAACCACTCGAGGCACTGTGCTTTTAACTGCACATTCATAATGCAACTGTGAGGTTTGTTTATGTTTTGAAAATTCAGGCGTGCTCACAACAATAAACAGCTGATTTTTGTTAAATCATACTAAAAAAAATTAAAGATGTCAGCTTTTAAATAAGCCATACTTGACTTTCCTACGACCCTCAATAACACGTATATTAAGCTGTAGATTTGATCCATTCTTTTTGGGACACGGTGTACTATTTTTGTTGTTGTATTTTTAAGCTCTTTAAAAGGGTTTTGAGAGAAATTGGGAAATTTTGTTTTTGAGGGTCACAAATGAGTACCGGTAACCCCAATTTTACCCGTGTGCTCCCACTATCTCCGCGTTCCGCCATCTCCGAACCCAAATCTGTCCCGCCACCTCCGAATTCTTCTTGAGTGACCCTTATACAAGCTAACAACGCAGGCAGTGACGGGATCTCACTGCCTGCGTTGTTAGCTGTCATTGCATCCACGGCTGCGAAGCCCCGTGGATGGAAGATTTAATGAAAATTCAACCCGTGGGTTAGGTT